AAAAATATATATATTTTTGGAAAAAAGGGACAGATAAGATTTTTTTTCTTCTGCCTCCTTTCATTTCAAGTGTGATTCTTTTATGTGTATAAGATTTTTATTTTTAAATGAAATGAATAAATGAATTAAACAATACTGCATTTCTTTTATACACACGTTTGTTTGAAATGTAAATCCTACAACACGTTGCACAAAGCTAAATATGAGAAGTTTACTGAAGTCGCAAGTACATAAACAACATTTTATTAGAACCACAACCACGCAGGAGTCTGCAGTTCAGCTCACTAAAGTAGAAGTTTACATATTTTGTATTCATATGTATTCATATGTATTAAACAAGAGTACAGCTGTTACACATGCATTTAAACATGAAATATGTTAAGTTCCTGTACTGTATGTTGGTTTAATAAACACAAACAGTTTTAAAATAGCAGCTTTATTACATTTGGGTAAGACTGCAGTATTATGTGGCCCTCTGGTAGCGTCAACAAAAAAATCGCGGCCCCTTCCATCGTTTAAGTTGCCCACCCCTGATCTGGACACATCTGAGCACAGAAATGTATTTCAGCAAGACCCCACCACCCCTGCAATACATCTGTGATGTCACACATTTGCTGCACTTTGTGTCATTGTGTTATCTGTATTTTAGAATGTACATTAATTTTTTTATATGCTACACTATCCATTCAGTAAACCATAAGTCAGTGCACTAAATGGTTGTGTGTTATGGCTTTTATTTTGAAGGACTGCTTCTGTTGGCAAAAGCAGGCAGCTTTGCGTATTTAAAAAAATAAAAAATAAAAAACTTTCATTTTGTTATAAAACATCTGGGACAGTGTTGGCAACTTTTTCGGACAACTGTCATCGATGAATTCTCGAGTTGTGGAGGAAAACAACAAGGATTTTGAGGAAAACGAGGAAGATGAGCAAATTTTAAGAGAACTGAAGGAAAGGAGGTAAAATATGATTGAATACTAATATTTAGCGTGACGGGAACAGAAACTAAAACTGGACAGAGGCAACACGTTGTACCCAAGTCCCAGCGCAGTAAAAATAACCAATAAAAATAAGACAAAAACGGGGTAAAGATCTGTGCAGGTTTATCGCAAACAAGATTACTGCAGAACTTAAAAGTGCCTGTGACATGCATATTCRAATACAAAAAGTCAAAGAAAACATCTTTATATTTAAGAAAGTTGGAATAATACACACAATTTAACCCTTTTTGTCCCATAACTGGCATATTTTCTTTTGACTTTGCTCAGCCAAAGTGAAACAGGAAGTGACATCAAAGGGGAACTCTAACAAAGAAAACTCTCTGGTCTTTGTCTATTGAAACATTATTATTTGAACTCTTCTTCATCTCTCTGATAGTGACTCAAAATAATCTAAAGAAACAGATTCTTCTCTACAGCCTGTTCACATGCAGACATTCCCCTTTGACATCACTTCCTGTTACTTCACAGGCAAATATCTCAACAACTGTTCATCTCAGCGACATCAGATATCTTTTACGATATTTTATCTATGTCCTCTTTCWAAAAATGCATTCATATGTCTTACAAAAATTTGATGTCACAGGCACTTTAAAGTGTTGTTTAGAAAAAAAATCTCAATATTATTTTTTTCCAGTATTGTGCAGACCTATTATCCATGCATTTATGTGGAAAGTGAAAAAAAAAAACATGGAGAATATCCAAGCCCTAAAAGTTGAAGACGCTGCTCTATTTTTGGAGCCTGCGTAGCTGCGCAGATCCCAGCTGTGGATTCCTAAGATTTCATCCATAAAAAGAACACCTTGTGTTTTGGTGGACAACAGACGCAGCTCTGAATTCTGTATAAGTTTGTCTTTTCTGTGAGTAATACAGGCGCTGCTTTGTTTGCTTGTTGTTAGGGGTAGAGATCGCGCCGACTGGCCTTTTAGGCTGAGGGGGAAAAAAAACTCTAGTGTTGAAATGTCACGATAACTTGTGTTGYTTTTGAATATTTTTGGGTGTGAACATGGAAACTAAAAACCGGAGCCTTCAGCTRCTGCAAGCTTCAAACCGCACCCTCGTTGTATCGCAGGCAAGAGCTGCACCGTATATTTTACCTGCACGCTGCGACCTGGACCCGAGCTTTCGGCCTCCGCTTTGTGCTTGCGAGGCAGGGTCTCCACCTCTCTGATGGCCTCCATGCTCACGTCTTTCGGCAGCACGGCGAACAGCGAGGTCACATACATGATGATGGACTTCTTATCTGGTAGCTGCACCGCCACGTCTGAGGGAGAGGGAGCAGAGTCGGCGGGAGGCAGGTGGATACAAATAAAGCAGGACAGCCAGGAGGGAGAAAGAAGAGATAAAAGGAAAAAAAAGTGAAAATTGCAAAAGATAAATGGAGTGTGGCAGTGTGAGATAGACGTTAAATGTGACAGGAGATTAAACAGGAAGGAAGGTGTTTGAAACAGGTTCAACTAATTAAACAAGGCTTTGATATGGGTCAGGAAGAGCTGGACCCCACAGACAGTCAGGATACAGACATGCCTAAATTAAGAGAACACACTTTTTTTTACATAACAGTCTGAAAGAACTTCACAGAAGCTGCGTTTCCATTGCAAATGTGCGCAAAACTTTGTCGATATTGTGTTAATGTCGAAAAACACCGTTTCACAATTGCGGTGTTTCTAGTAAGTAAGAAATGCTATTAAAGTCACACGTGTTTGTTCTCGCGATAAGTCGTTACAAACATGGCGGCAATGGATGTAAACACATAGCATGTTGCTACCACTGCACTAGCGCTCATCATCAGAGGAGACGTCGACGTCTGATCGAGGCTTTCGAGTGAAAAGCCCCTTATACTTGGGAGCGGCTACGTATGCTGTGTTTTTGGGAAAATGTAGTCGTGAGTTTACTACTTTCTTTTACTACTTTGGTGAATTTACTACTACTTTTACTTCCTGTTATCTTCTTCGTCTTTTTTGCCAGTAGAAACAGCTGGTTCTTGATCACGTGACTCCCGTGATGCAAAAAGTGTTTCCATCGCAGTTTTGCGAAAAATACCAATTTCGATACGGCCGAAAAACCACCTCTTCCTAGCGCAAAACCATTTTGTCGAAAAACGTAATTTTTTTTTTTTTAATTGACGTGTTTCCATTGAGCAAATTTATTTTCGAAATTCTAATTTGCGCATTTTCATGATCGATGGAAACGCAGCTAGTGTTTGCTTTGCTGAGTTTATTCAGCTGCTGGCAAGACTTGACTGTTWTTATAAGCAGGAATTTTGGACAATAAAATGTATGCATGTCCTTTTCTATTATTTGTAACACTATCCAACTATAAAAGGCAGCTGATAAAAAATAAAATAAAATTAAAAATAGCACCTTCGGGATCCAGGAGCCTCTCAATGCCGAGCTGGGTTTTGGCCGAAGCGAAGGCGTGTTCGAGTCTCTCCACKGGGCTCATTCTGAGCACCTGATCCCAGTCGCACGTATCTGGCCTGGAAACACAGATAGAGAGAAGCAGAAAACAAAAACAAAAAAGATTTATCATATAAGAGAATTTATAAACCATGAACATTTGAGAATTTAAAAATTACAGCTGCACCAGTTGCCGTTTTCTACGTGTATTTTGTTGTCTGATTTTGGCACACGCATGGATCGCCAATTTCAAAATATATTTTAAAACTAAAACTATAATCAGGGATGTAACAAACTGCTTAAAATGTAAATCGATTCATAAAAAAATGAATTGATTTCATTGTTGTTGTATAACAGGAAGTTATGTCTTTAAGAAAGTTTGGTGCTTGATTATTTTTGGTCACAAAAGTATTTGTGACGATATTTTTGAACATTTTGTAACTAAGATAACAGACAGTTACAGTTTGAGACAAGGACAAAAATGCTGATGTTGAAAGAAAATAAACATTTGGTTATAAAATGGCTACTATTCATTTTGTTGAAAAAAAGTCAAATAATCATATTCATGAACTTAAAATCGCTAATCGAATCGTGGCTTGAGTGAATCTTTACATCCAGTTTGTTTATTTTGTAAACAAATAAAGAAATACTCTTAACACAAGCAGAACAGAAGCTAAAAATCATCAAAACTATACATGGTGGGTAAATTCAGCAAAACAATGCTAAAAGCTAAAATTAGCATGACCATAGCCAGAAGATAAAATCCGCAAAACATTAGTGAAAACCTTAAAAAAGCACAAAATGACAACTGAGGAAAAAAACAAACGCCATGAAGAAAACTTATCTCAATCAAGATAAATGTTTTAATATATAAACAGATAAAATAAAAGGTGAAATGATTTTTTTCAAGCCAACCAGGCTACTCAAACAAAAAGCTTTTCACAAGCAGCCAGTTACATCCTTATACTTGTAATCTTTAGGCATCTTCATATGACAGGAAAGTTGTAACGGTAAGCACAGAGAACTAACATTTAGTTCATGTTATACTCATTTATTTTGTTTGCTCTGTTTGCAAATTACACATTCCAAAAAGTAAACTAATCTTAAACTTATTAGAGAGTTTTGAAGACCTTACGGATTCACAAATSATTAGCTTTGAGGTTTTTTCCCCTCACTCTGTATAACCTTCCACAGTGAAGACAATCTGTGCCTGCAGGAGGTAAAAATATCTCACTTTGAGCACCCAATTTGCCACTCAAACTGCTCAAGCTGAAAATCGACCAATTCCAGCTGCCTTCAGAGCAACCAGTGCTTCGCTGCTAAAACTGATGAAAAAATCATWTATGACAAAATGCTTCAAGTGTTTTGAAGATGTATTTACCTAAAAAGCATTTAAATAAATGTTTACGTTATTCACGCTTTACAGAGACAAGGTTCCCTCAGGTTTGGGGGCGGGGCTTGTGTTGTGGTTTGGGGGCGGGGCTTGTGTTGTGGGGCACTGGAGTGTGAAACCTGTGTGTTCAGTGATCCACCTAAACCCGAGGCCAGAGTCTAAACCAACACCCATCATTCTCACACCTCACAGGCTTGTATGTGAGTGTTTGGATGTCACCGAGACGGACAAAGGATTACATAAAGAGGGGAAACACCCCGGACCCCTACACACACACACACACACACACATACATACACACACTTCACACACACACAGCAGCACACAGAGAATGAGCAAACAGTGACAAGGCAAGCTTAAACAGATCAAGTCGAGCAGTAAACACACATAATGCAGACCTGCAAACCTAACTTTTCAACACAATCAAGCAAGATTTACGCRATTCTAAACGACAATGCTTAAATAAAACTGCTAAATAAAAATAAAGCTTAGGCTTCTACCTACACTTTTTTCAGTTTATGTCGTCTGTTTGACACTGACAGGAATTTAAAGATTGTGTATTTTTTTTTTTTCTGTAATTACTCAGATGGACTGGTTTTGGTTATTTTTATAGTCAAACAATAAGTTCATTTTGTGAAAAAAAGGAAGAAAAAAAAACAGAAAAATAGACGTATATGAAAAGTTGTCTATGTATTCCGATCTAACTTAGCAAAAGTTCAATGTGAGCGAAAGTGAAACTTAAGGAAAATTTGACCTTTGACCCAAAATGGCCGACTTCCTGTTGGTTTTAGGGCATACCTCTAAGAGACTTTTTTTCTTGATTTGTGGCGATCTACCAACGCCCCAAATTTCAGCTCTCTAGGACTTACCAGTTCCTCTATCTCACGTTAGGTGGCACTGTCCAGTCATTTGGCCACRCCCATTAAAAATTCCAATGGAATCTTGCTATTTTTGCCGGGGGACAATTTTGGGTTAAGTTTGGTGAGTTTTCGAGTATGGCAAAGCCTAGGGTTGGGCGATACTGCCAAAAAAAGTTAGTTTTGGTGTCTGAGCGAAAACAATGAGGCGATATTTGAACACAGAACTGCAGCTGATTKAGGTGGAGCAACGGACGGATACAGAACCGCAGTCAGAACCGAGAGAAGAGGGAAGCACAAAGACAGAAACAGGAGGGAGAGGACTTTGATGAGGAAATGGACGATCCATTATTTGGATTAGAAGAGGAAAGAAAAGAGGAGCGGCATTAATCATACTAACCACCAAATAATGCCAAATAATAACCGTCAAAASTTTTTGACAATTACTTGCAMTTGATATGATTTTGCCCAACCCAGCTACAATGATAACTTTTTTTTTGTTTTTGCTCCCTCCTCACCTGAAGTGGTGGAGGATGCCATTGAGCGCCAGTCCGTCATTCCAGCTTGTGGTAAAATTCAACACGTTGACCTGAGGGTATGAGCGTGTGCACTGTCGGACCCAGCTTAGTAAGATCTTCTCACTGTTGGTCTGCTGCAGGTTGGACATGACGTCCTTCATGATGTCTTTCACCTGTCAGGGAGAAACTTTTAGTAAGAGCTTATGAACAGGGTTTCTCAAGTATGAAATTAAATGTTCTCTTCATTTATGATGAAAAGCTGACATTGAGACCTCATATAAATCATTTAAAAACAAAAATAGCTAAATCCATTGCTGTATTATACAAAGTAGAGGACTTATTTAATGATAAAGCACTTATGTTGTAT